AAACTTTAATGCAAGTCTAAACTAACAAACTAACAAAGCAAGTAAACGGTTGTATTCAAGTTAAGAGAGGTCACCCGGATATGGTTCCCCCTAGACTGCAGTTAAGCCGGATTGTAATTACCAAGTTCAGTTTCTATGATAGTTATACTGCGGAAGGTTCTTAAACAGCCTGAAGTCTCGACTAAAGGTCTTCAGACCCTCTCAATCTGAGTCTCTAGCGGGCGACTAACCTCCACCGGAGTAAACAGATTGAGGCCTTAACAAACAAAACCTCCACTACCGGAGTAAATCCGGTACAGAATAGTGAGTTGGCTCCTCGACTAAAGTCACCAACTCCCTACCTTCAATCAAGGATGCTCTATCAACCTAGGCAGATATTCTCATTCTAGGTTAAAGCAAAAACAACAGGAATTTGATCAGGATTCAAGTCATTCAATCATTCAAACCTCAATCGAATATAATCAAATCATAGAATCAGTACTTGGGTTCATACAATCAAACCTAACATACAAATCTAGGGTTCTCCATACCCAGATGAATGGGAGAACTACTCCATAGAGAAAGAAGCAAAAGCAGTATCAGACGCGGAATTCATATTGTGAAGGATGGATTCCTGCTCCTAGACGTTGATCGGCACTTCTCCAAGCTCAAACTGACCTCCAATGGTGATGAAGATCAAGCTAGGGCACTTAGAGACTCTTGTTCGTCGCTTTCTCTCTCTAGGAATCGCTCTATCTCTCTCCAAACTCCAATCACCTTCTGTTTTGGCTGAAATCTGCTTAAAAGGGCATCAGTGGCCAAAGCACGGTCGAGGGAACGGCCGTGCTTTGCCTCAGCCCGCCAGTGCTTTGGCTAGGGTTAATTACACGGCCACCTGTTGGTGCAAACACGGCCGTGCTTTTGAGAGGACACGGCCGTGCTTTGGGTGGACACGGCCGTGCTTTGTCTAAGCCCTGCCCGTGTTTTTAGCCAATGTTTGCCAAACTCGAATTAGCTCTCGGCAGTAAAAGCACGGCCACAGAACACGGCCGTGTTCTGTTTTAGGTGTGCCCGTGTTTTGGCTCTAGCTCGACGAAATGACTTCCGAATGCCCCGAAACTCGTGCTTAGCCTTCCCTTTGACGCCTGGGACCTGAAATATGACAAAATAGCACAACCCGGCGTAAAATAGGCCAAAAATACACGACTATTCCCCTCAAACGGATAAGAACTAGGGGCGCAAATACGTGCAATTACATCGTTATCATCGGTTATTTATCTTTTCCAAATTTTATGGTAATTTGGGGAATTAAAGGTTAGGATTATTAATTTGGGTAGTAGAAAGAAATTGTCAGACATCTTATATATTATTGTACGTGGGAATTACTCACTAGGTTTTAAGAATATTAAACAACTTTCTCCAAAGCTTCTCTTTATCTTTTTCCCTAGCTGAAACCTCCATCCCTTCTGCAAAGTTGCTGCTGCAGCACTCCTTTCCCCCTTCCCTCTCATTTTAGAAATTTCTTAACCCCAAATATCTTATTCTAAATCCTAAGCAAGATCAATACCTAGTTGATATGCAATTCCCAATTCTCTAAATCAATAAGGGAGCACCCTAGATCGTGGTTTCTACTATCCTGGTATTAGAGTAGGTCTGTGCAAAGAACCAGAGTGAAAGACGCGATGGTTGCATCAAGAGCAAAGACTGCAGTTGAGAAAGCGGCTGAAAAGGCTGCGCAGGATAAGCTGGCAGCCAAGAAGGCGATCTATGACAAGACTATGGTTAGCGCGGCCGGTTCTACCACCGAAAAAGTCGTCGAGGAAACTGAAGGTGTATTCGTTGAAGATGCCACAGACATGGAGATGCTCAAGACTTCCGTGGCGAGATTGACCGAGATGCGGGAGAATGGATAAAAGGCACAGAGGGTGTTGCGGGCGGAGATGAGGGCGTCGCAAGCTGAGCTGCGTGAAGAGATGAAGGAGCTCCGGCCTGCGAGAGATGGTGATGGTCATCACCACCACGACCGTCATGGAGCTCTCGGGGCGCAATTCGAGGCTGATGAACGATGCGGGGGCGACGACTAGAGGGAAGACTACGGCCGAATTGGTGGCCGCCGACACGGCAGGCGAGAAGGAAGCGGCGGTGATGGATTGGAGGCCTCAACGGCGACAGACGGCTCGACGAGTGCAAGTAGGTCGGTGCCGGTGGGCATGCTGGCGACGATGCTAAGGCAGAACTAGAAACGTGGGGGTTAAGTCTCATTGGACCCTCACGTGGGACCGAGCTTATTGCCGACTCCACCTACACAAGAAAGTTCAGCACCGCGTATAAAGGCGAAGATGCTGAGATATGACAACCTGGCCCGCAACGCGACATATGGGCTATTGGGACCGGGCCCACAGATGGAGCAGGAGTGGTCTGGGAGTTTTGATGGGCCTAGTTGGACTGGGTCAAACGGGCCCAAGAGGAAGCCGAGCTGAGTCTAGGAGGAAGAATAGGTGCATGGGCCGGGCCACGAAGGGCTGGACTTGGGGCAGACAAGGGAGACGGGCCGAGACAGCTGATCGGAATTGAATCGGGTCGATTGGGTTAGACTTAGTAGAAATGAAACCGATCAAGCCGAGATCGAACTGAACCACTTCGACCAGAACCGTACAGGAGCGAGCAGCAGGGGGTCCTCGACTTAGAAGGGTTTTCCGGGCGACGTCAGCATGCAATACCCTCCTTTCACCACTCCCAGGTCTGTTGGACGTCACTAGGGAAGGAACCTAGAGGTTGGACAAGGCTCGCGAGGCGGGTTAGGGAGACAGAGGACTACCTAGAGGGTGAGGAAGGCTAGTGGAATCAGGACCGAGAGCAGTAGTTGCCTTAGAGACACCATTCTGGGACACTAGGAATTGGCAAGTATGGAGGTTACAATCAGATGAATGATACTGATGATGAGCTTGTGTTTAGAGCCGAGCCCCCGATCATTGAGTTTCCAAAAGTCAATGGTCAGGAGGATGTTGGGTTGTGGTTGTGTGCGGCTGACAGGTGGTTCTGGAATCATCCGACTCTGGAGGATACTAATGATGAGCTTTTGTTTAGGGCCGAGCCCCCAATCATTGAGTTTCCAAAAATCAATGGTCAGAAGGATGCTGGGTTGTGGCTGTATGCGGCCGACAATGTTTCCGCAGCCGGCGACATTCTACCTCGAGGGGGATATCACTACAGTTACGGGTGGATATAGCGATCATATGCATGGCAGGACTTCGACCGGATTTTGCAGATGCTGTGAATGTATTTAAACATGACTCATTGAGAACTGCGTTTAGACTTGCAGGTCACAAGGAGGAAGAACTAACCAGCTGGACAAACACTATTGGGTGATATCAGAAGGCTGGCAGAGGAACCGGGAGCAGTGCTGTAACTGCCGGCGGTGGGTGCACTATAGCCATGGGAGCCAGTGCAGGAGTCGCGTTAGCTGCTACCACTGTTCCAGTGGTGAGTGGTGACTCGACCAGAACCCAAGTTTCCTCCGAAGGGGTTCGTTCAGTTGTCCCCTTCTGAGGTGGCGCAAAAGAGGCGACAAGGGAAGTACTTCAACTGTAATGAGATTCACTCTCTAGCATCAATGCACAAAGCCTGATCTGATGATGTTGCTGGGGTGCTGAAAGATGTGGTTGAGGAAGAGATCGCGAAGGCAAATGAGAAGAAAGATGGTGACCGCTAACCTTGATGTCAAAGATATTCTCAAGAAGAGAGGATAATAGAAACATGGTTTTTATGGTATTTCCGTATTGGACTTAATTGTCAGTTATTTATCTTTTTCATACTTTACGATAATTTGGGAGTTAAAGGTTAGGATTATTAGTTCGGGTAATAGAAAGGAATTGTTGGGCAACTTATATATTATTGTACGTAGGATTTACTCACTAGGTTTAAAAAATAATAAACAATTTACCTCAAAGCTTCTCTCTCTTTACCCTAACCAAAACCTCCTTCCCTTCTGCAAAGCTGCTGCCGCATCACTCCTTTCCCCATTCCCTCTCAATTTCCTAATTTCTTAACCCTAAATATCTTATTCTAAACCCTAAGCAAGATCAATCCTAGTTGATTTGCAATTCCCAATTGAAAGAACCCTCTTGTTAAGGATTCTAGAGACTGATCTTCGGCACCCGTAATTATCATAACAATTAGGGATTTAGGGATTGAGAGAAAGAATTAGGGATTTAGATGAGAAGAACATAATAGAATTGGGAATCGGCCGAAGCTTTGGATTGGGTGAGACGAGAAATTAGGAGTAGAGAGGAATTAGGTTTAGAAGGATACTTTGCTTAATACTTTTCTTGACTGATTATGACGTAAACCCAAAGTACATATTTATAGGAAATAAACCCAAAACTCTAATAAACTAATCCTAACCTAATCGGCCTACGTTAGCTGCCTAACCCTAACATTATTAATTATTATTATTCTACTAATTATATGTCTAACATTCCACCCTCCTTGGAAGCGACCTTGTCCTCAAGGTTGCAGTCAACTTTTGTCTTCTTGACCTTCCGCTTTCTTCGCTTCCAATTGCGCTCAATTCCAAAAACTAATCTTTCTCCACCAACTTCCAATTTCCACGATTCTTCCCACACCACGCGGCACCCACGTCCCAGCCCATAGCCGAATAATTCTTTCTCTTCCTTTTCGAATTCCACGAAATAAGAATCGGATAATTGTTCTTCCTTGTGCTCCATTAGTAGGTCTTCAAGGGTGTGCTTCATAATTTCCACAATGGGCTTAGTGGTGAAAATAACCCATAGCTCCTCCCAACATTCTCCTTCTTCACCTTGTACTCGGCCCACCATTGCTTGAAAGAGGGAGTTCTGGCCCAAACAAATGACAAGTCCATTTTTGTTCCCTTCTTCTCTATATGGACTTGGTTTAATCTCTTTTGAAAGCCCACAACTTTCTTTCTTCAAGTTTTGTTCCTGCCAAGTAGATCCAACAAGACAATCAATGTTAGGCCCATAATAACCTTTTTGTTCGGCCTAATCCGTCCACTTCTCCTCGACTGCTTCTTGTCCACCCTTCAACCCATCTTTCTCAGCAATTGGGCCTGTTGATTTTGGCCCAAACCCATACAAGAGAGCTCTTGTTAACCTGCTCTCGGACGACCATAGGATCAGGCCGTGCCTAGCCCAACTCAGCTCAATCCTCAGCCCACGCTTTTGCCCTTCTCGAACCAATCCGGGTCCAGTACCACTGATCCCACGAGCCGACCCGTGGCCTAAGCCTTGCGAGCTAGGGTAGCGAAAGGGCGCCGCCCTCCTCCTTCCGTTTGTTTCTCGTTGGCGAACCGGCTTCTCGGCGGCCTGGCGGCCATCCGCAACCCGTCGCCGCCTTCCACTCTGTCTCGTCTTCTCGCGGAGGCTTCTCCTCCAACTCGACCTCTGGCTTCGAGTCATCCTTCACTGGTCGCGCATTAGGTAACAAAGTCGTGGAGCGAGAGCGAGAGCGGGAGCGAGAGCGTGAGAGCGCTCATTTTTACATAACTCAATATTGAGAGCGCGACGAGAGCGCGATATTTTGTTAATTTAAATTAATAAATTCAGTTAATTTTTATAAGAACTAAAGACCTAATTATTGGAAATAACTATTAAATATATACAACCCGTAAAAAAACTATTAGAAATATACAGGTTGAGTCAAACCGTAGTCTGTTTGCTCCAGTAGGATTCAAATCTTATTTGGGTTGCCTGCCAGATTAATGAAATGGGTCCTTTGAGTTATTTTAATTGTTTGTATTTTCATTAAAGCCCAGCCCAGCCCACAAAATAACCTACTAAAAGTTGGAAGAAAGAAGCCAAGCCACACAAGCACTTCCTCTCTTTCCTCTCCAACCGTCTTCTCCTTCCGTCTTCCTTTCTTCTCTCTTATGTAAATTCAAATCCCTAACCTCATATGCAGAGACAACTAATTGAGTGGAGTTATTTTAATAGGACTTCAACATCTGCTCAGTCTATTTAAACCAACTTTATGTTTCTACTTCCAATTTCTCGCTACCATCCACTTTCTGTTGCATGCACCGCTATCTCGACGGCAGTTCAGGCATTCAATCGATTGTCAGAGAAGAAAGCTTCCACTGAAGCTACCTAGTCCCTTTTCAATTCTCATTTTCGTGTGAACCAAAAAAGTAAATGGAGAAGAAAGTGTCCCGTCTCACTCACTCATTACCCTCCTCTGACTCGGATCAAGAGGTTTATTTTTGTTATAAACATTTCAGATTGATTTATCATAAATAAACAATTCAGATCAAAGAATTTGGGTTCTGCATGTTTCTTTTTTCTTTCTAATTCCAGTTGTTGTTTTGTTTCGTTGATTTTGGATGGGAGGGTAAGGATCTGGTTCTGGCTTGTCGGAGGCAGGGGTGTTCCGGCAATCAGGACCAAATCGAGCAAGTAACGGCTTTGCCGGAAGCATATATCGACATAATACCATCCTCTCTCTTTCTTGCTCTCGCTGCAGTGACGACACGGAGACGGGTACATCTTTCATGCTCGCCGCCTTTCTCTTTCTCTTCCACTGAACCTTAGAGGCCTCTCACGAGATACATTAAATTTGCGTCCTCCCTCACAAAATTCGCGCTCTGAATAAAAGCAGTTCGCGAATTATTGACGCTCCATCCAAAATCCGCGATTTTAACGCTCCAGAGCGGGAGCGCTGGGCCCAAACCAGCGAATTAGGTTACCTAAGTCGCGCAGCTTCTTCCCCCGACTGCGGCCGTTCTCCGGTCGGATCTACAACAACCTGACGGCTTCATGCCAAGCTCGAGGAGATCGAAGCCCTCGCCCCCCCCCCCCCCCACTTAGTCGTTCGATATCTGGCAGAAGGGAGAGAATTCATTGTGTGCTGTCTTCTTTGTTCATCCGACCTCGCCATGAACGGATTACTGTTCGTCGTCGCTGTGTCTGGAGTGGCCGCATATCGTGTCTCCATCCACATGATCTGCGTCGAGGATGAAGAAGCCCGGCGAACTCGCTCTGGCTCTGCTTCGCGTTGATCCCGGTCGTCTCTATGATTCGCTGTTAACCCCTACTCTATCTCCTTCCTCGTCGGCGCGCCATCCCCGCGACAGCTTCGAGGAGATTCCGGACCAACGCGGCGCCATTTCGGCTCTAACCCATCTTTGGGTCTTTCCTTCTTCTTTTCTTCTGATTTCCTTTTTTCCTAAATTTCCACGAAACACCACCTTGGATTGGAGACATACCTTGTTCCTTCCGATCCACCAAATCTATTGTTGATGTGACTTGAATCGGACTATCAGCCGCTACGACTGGTAATCGGGGGTCTCAATGTTATTTGGGTTCGGGTTCTGGGCCTGGTCTGTAACCGTTTCCTTTGCCAGATTGGATTAGGTTTAGACCCACATGGAGAAGTACTATAAATACTTCTCATACTCCTCTGTAATCTGTAATCTCCTTGATATAGTGAAACGGGCTCTCTCTCTCGCCCGTGGACGTAGCTAACACACATCGTGTTAGTGAACCACGTAAATCGTGTGTCGTGTTTTCGATTCTCGCTTTCGTATTCTTGCTTTGTCGATTCCTGCGATTTCCCGATCCGTAGCAGCGCGTTTATAACATCTATTTTTGCACGTACCCGCTCTTGTGTACCTCTCATCTCTGACAAATCCTGCCGCTCTGTCGTCTTCAGCTCGTCTTCCAGCGACAACCTTCCTCCCAAACCCACCAACGATGAGTCCGGGACCACTAGGTCTGCCTTTTCTCGGGTGACAACAACACCGGGAATAGCAGCAGTGTAGGCTTCTTTCCCATCGATGGTAACAACCGCCTCTTTCTCCCTCCGCGGCAGCTCACTCGAGGCTACTTCTTCCTTTGCCTGCACAATGTCGTCTCGCCCATCAGCTCAGCCTCAATCTTGCTCAGATGTGGGGTTCTAAATAGGGTTGGCTGTAAGGAGAAAGGTATCGAAAATCAATTACATAAACTCTTTTCCTTGCTCTTCTTCTTCCTTCTTTTCTCTGTATTCTTCCTCTGTTCCCTTCTTCTTCCTCAATCTCTCCTTTCCTACACTTTCCCTTCCCTTTCCCAGAACACAATCAACTCACCAAGACTAATTCTTCTACCCAGGGGTGACAGTTCTATGCTATCAGTCTAGCACACAACTACCAAATGGGAAGCCAGCAGCCAAAATAACAAGAGAAACCCTACTAAAATCATTGCATCTGTTCGTTAAAGTGGTGTATTTTGAGGATGTTGATCACGACCAGCAGGCTTTCCAAGATACTCTGCATATCTACCATTCAACTGCGTGTATGATTTTAGGTCTTTATGCATTAAAAAACCATGAACACGAGATGTCAACACGAGCACTTCCAAAGTGCAGATACTTGCAAGAGAACACAAATGACTTAAATTATCAATGTCAAACTCTGTGGGCATATTTACAAAATTATATGTGGAGAAGCCTTCTTTAGTGACTAAATGGTGTTATTGATAGAATCATCAGCCATATTCATGGATTCCCTTTCCTACAAATGAAGAGTCATTCTTAAATAGTTTGTCAATGCATATAGGTAGGCACAGACGCACAGTCTCCATGATATCAACGAAGATATAAGTGGAGTCAAACTAACTTACACGCGCAGAGAAGATATTTTCAACTGTTTTCCGGGAGAAGCATCTACCGATGACATCTAAACTGCAGACACACATTATGACATGAGAGGGGTGAAGAACATTTTTCAAACATGCTTTAAGAAGTTTGCATGAATCCTCCATATCTGTTATACTAATTAGAGATCAAATAATAACCAGCATAAATTTTCCCTTCACCTCAAGACGTATGATTACCCTCCCTGCATTGACGTCGGCCCCAAACCGGGACCAGAGACCCCTGGTGACTGCACATGGAATCCAATCCCAACCAAAGTAACCCCTATTCTTTGGCAATCCCCCCTCTTTTCTTGGTAGAAGGGTTCGTACACAAATTCATCCGTTATGTTGTGACCCCTATACGAAATGTATAAACTCATCCTGTCGTAGTACACGTCCGTATTTTTGCTCGTGTTGTTGACGAGAAGGACGAGATTGAAGGAAGTGTTTATCAGAAGGTGCTCGGGTAGGCTGGGGAGTGGGCTTAGCTGCTCACACTCTGCTCTCAAAACTATGAAACAAGGCCCCGAGAGGCAAACGACAAAGAAGACTATGAGGTACACTATCAACGTGACTAGAGCGATGAACAGTAGGAGGAGGTACGCGACCCCTCAGGAAATTCATTTTTGAAGGAGAAGAAGCAGGCAGAAAACATAACAAGCTAAGAGGAAAAGGAAACAACTTGCATAAGAATTCAAGAAGAGGGCTTTTTATACTTGATGGAACTAAGACTACGTGCGGTTTGTAAAGCACTTGGAGTTCATCCCTTTCTGGCGATTAAGTGTTAACTTTGGCCTTGTGGCTAAAAGATTGTAACGATATTATTTTTAGTTGTTTGCGTACCTTTAAGCTAACCTTGTAACTACCACTTGTGACCTGGTGGTAACTTTCTTATAAACCCAACAAATCCAATCACCGCGAACTCTTCCAGGAAAGGGTTTTTCTTGTTGCTATCTTTAAATCTTACATGAAAATGATTGCCAAAAGCCTATAGAAACTCTTATATTTCTTCTATTAGCTTTCCATCCAATTCTGATATGCACATCTTTCCATTAGACCATTACCGACGTGGTGGGAAAAAAAAACATTGTTGTTATCTCCGCCTATGGTTTTTTTGTGTCCTGTTATAGCTTTTGTGAAAGCCGATTTTGGGTAGCTTTTAGAAAAACACTTAAAAAATAACTAGCTTTGTACTTTTGTTTGAAATATGTTTTATAGAATATTTTTTTTTCTACATTGTCTATTTTGTTCACGCTATCATTGAGTAGATCACATAAAATCTGATTTTTTTGTGCAACAATATTTAAATTCGGAGTTGAAGCGGAAAAAATATGGATTGAATAAGAATAGTATGGTGATTGAAAAATAAGAGAGAGAGTGTGTGTTAAGTGACACAATCTAATTGGAGTACAAAATAACTACAAAGAAAAATTATAATGAAAAGAAAAAAAGAAGTTACGAAAACATCTGATTGGTGGAAAGGGAAGTTAAGAAAAAATCTTATTGGTGGAAAGGGTGCTGATGTGGATGCGTAGGAGGGCTGGATTTTTGAAACGGTGAAGGTGGTTATTGGAAAAGTCTTTATATATTTTATAGATAATTGAGTGTTGGCTGAAAAATATTAATAATACATTTTAATATAAGAGCTCATGTAAAATGAATAAAAAGAGTTTCTCATATAACATATGAATATAATTAAAAAGCAGTCGTCTTTGAATCATAAGTCTCGCAGCCTCTCAATTCAAAGATTTTATTGAAACTTAGAACAAAGAACTCACAAACAAGGTAGTGTTAGGTGTTTCGGAAATGGAACTTTCGTGCAATCTTACACAAGGAAGAAGGCTCGAGAAGTATAAGGTAGAAGCTGGCCAAGATGGGTATACTTGATCGATACAAGCACTCAACTCACCTAGAATCCTTTAAGCAACTCAACTCACTCACGAAGCAAAGCTTTGTGAACCAAAACTCAAAGTTTGTATTGAATTGAACGAAATCTCCATTACAATGCTAGTAGAAAGACTTTAAATAGGACTAAACTAAGCTAAAATCTCTAAAAGACGTCCCAAACACAAAGGAACTCGGAAACCAAACCCGAAACGAACAAAGAATAGAAATCCTAATCCGATAAGAAAATAGATTGCTTGAGGCGCAAGACAGAATTCCCAGACTCCATATGATATTGCACAGGTTCGTTCGAAGTCTTAGAGGTATGATCTTGATCAGCCAATTCCTTCAGGTTGCTCAGAAAATCTTGTACTTCCACGTACCAAGTTCCTTTAGCTTCGAATCTCCCTACTCCATTTCGAATAAGCACTCAAAGTAGGGTATCGTACACAGTTCCAGACTTGGCCAAAATTACACAGTTTTCCTGTGCTCGTCATATAACCTTTGTCAATCGTGTTCATGCCTTTAGGAACTTGTTTTTAAGGAATCCAGCCTTCAGAGAAGTAGTTAAACTCCTGCTCTTGAATTCCTAACCTTTTGTTTGCATTTCCATCAAACCAATTGTGAGATATGAATCCGCAAAGTAGGCACCATGAAACTGTTTTAACACTTAACCAAATTCTGCCCTTTTTCTTGCCAACTTGGATTGATTCATTAGCAAGCAATGAAAACTTGTAAAAGAGGCTACTTTGGATCATATCATGCCCCCTTGTTCAAAAAGGTTTGCCCTCAAAGTTTGAAGCCTCTGGTGCTCAAAATCCTCGCTGAACTGCTCCCTAACTGGATCGAAAACAACATACCCGATCCCCTGTTTTGTTGGAACCAGACAAGTGCATCATTTGTTTAGAAATTTGGGGGTTTCTGTTTGAGGGATCCCCAGTTTAATTCAATGCATCCACGCACTTCGTCATTCTTCCAATTGAAGTTCTGACCCATCCTCTAGTCTCGGATCACCGCCTTCTGTGTTGAATCGATCATTCTCCTAATCCAGATTGTTGTTGCCATCTTTAAATCTTTCCTAAAAATGATTGCCAAAAGCCTGTAGAAACTCTTATTTTCTTCAATTAGCTTTCCATCCATTGTTATAAGAACCGAACCGGATCAACGGGTGGGCCAGTAAACCGTCAAACCAGCTACGATAGCGGTCTGATCCATTCTTTGGACCTTATTGATGGACCAAACAAATTTTCATGTTTCAACATAAAACCAGATGAACTACCACGGTTTAATTGGTCCGTTGGTTCACTATTTTAACTACAAATTTAAAAAAAAAAAAAACTTTAACGTAAACTAAGACCATCAAACTAGAATTATTAATGATAACTTAATTCTTAAATTAGTGTATTATACAAGTTTTGTATGTTATATATCATGAACGGTTCTGTCAACGGTTAACTAACGATTTTGTAACGATTAACCACTGAACCCCAAACCACTTACTTTTCCGGTTCATCTTCCGGTCCCGTTATGAAAACAGAGTTTGCATCCAATTCTGATATGCACATCCTTCCATTAGACCATTACCGACGTGGTGGGGAAAAAAGAAAACATTGTTGTTATCTCCGCCTGTTGCTGCCATTAGCGTAGCTCGTCAGTAGAGTATCTTATGACGCAAGCTCTCTTCCTGTAGCATTTATGCAACGCAAAATGGAGCTGGGTGTGTATATAAGAAGAAGACAAAAGCTCTGTAGGCAAAATCTGTTGTTTTTAGGTATTTTGTATGCAATGGTTTGCAAAATATAATCGTGGATCCTAAGCTTTGGTGACATGTAATTTCAATTCAGGTAAAATCATAATACACTATGTCAATGATTTGATGTTATATGTATGTATACGTTGTTTATGATCGTTAGAGTAAAGTTCTAAACGTTATTAGTTTATGCATGTGCAATATTCTCAGGTCAATATGCTTACAGAATGCTCTGCATCTTGAATCTGATTCTAATAGCACTAGCAGGTTGCCAAAACTGGTTTCTTATTATTTGCGGCTAAAAATGTGAACATTACATATCATCGAATGATAAGACCTAGGAGGCCGAACAAATGAACAAATGGTGACAGAGAAATGAAACTGGGGGAGGCAAAGATGTACCAGTCGCTACTGCGATAAATCTAGTTCATAGATGGCTGGGGACAGCCAAGTTATCCCACCAGATTGTTTGTCCTGCCAACAGCCAGGAGACTGGATTTGCTGCTGCCAGAAGAAATGAGTTCAAAAGAATTGCTTGTAGCCTATACACCAAAATAATTTCGACTTTATGGGTTACTCGTATTCATGCTGCTTCGTCTTCTTCGCTGAGCAGGAGAGTGAATGAGAAGGGAGAAAACTTGTATCCATCTCCCTCATAGAACTTGTTCTGGAATTCAACCCAATGAAGCCGCAGCGCATGGAGGAATGCACTTAGGGTTTCCATTATGAGAAGCACACCCACAGTGGCACAAACAAACACAACAATGCCGATGATAAGAATGACCGTATTGTTGAACCTGCAAGACATTAAGTGTTAAGACTTCTTATACTCGGTGGAAATGCATCTGGATGTTGAGAGTTGAAGTTAAATGACAGCATCAAACTTACCCCCATGCAAGAAGCAGAACCTTGTCATAGAAGACACTGGAAAGCTCTGAGTGGGCTAGACTGGAAGATCAATCAAGGAGACTCAAGCATTAGAAAATTAATTGACGATCCCGATATTAGCTTACTGCAGGCTGGAAAGGCAGAAGCAACCTACCTGAGAGCCCAGAGACGCAGGTACGATGCTGTGTTAGATACTGATCCGAGCACAAACTCTATGGTGTGTATCAGCTGATGGACGAAGACCTCGCTGAACTCGAACTCTTCATGGCCATGGGGGGTAGGAGGCTCAGATTCAACTTCAAGGTTGCCTTCCGCATTATCAAGTAGGGTGTAGGACTGGCCTTGAAGCCTCTAAACATGGAATTAGTCAAGATGAGTGGAGTGGGAGTTATTTCAAGAGAACTAGCAAGTAACTGGACTGATAAGTTAGGAGCATACTTCCTCGTGTTGCTTCTTCAACAGGAAAGGCTTAGGGAACAACATCCATGGTACGGCAACAAGGGCCAATACAAGCAGCAGCATCTGGTTGTGAAGATGTGACGAAGAAAAGATTTAGTCTTGTGCTTCAAAGGGAAACTTCATAAATAAATAGGGGGAAACCTGGAGAGAGAGAGAGAGACCTGAAGATATTTCTGGCCGAAAAAGAGCTGATTGTCTCCTAGATCTTCAGCAGGACTGAGGAACATGTATATCATCACATGGTACAGATCCGCTTGTGAGCCGGTGCTCCATTTCACGATTATGAGGAGTGAGAGGTAGCCAAATAAGCTGTTTAAGAAAATCATCTGGGGTACAAATTGGTACCTGCAACAAAATTTGCATGTTCAAACAATGCCAACAAAGAAAATATATATGAAGAGAACCGTTATATGAGAATTCATATAAAAGGTTTGTTCACACTTCACAGTAAAAATTTCTCTGCAGCAGATATAGAAGTCCAGCTGGAATCTACTCCAGAAATACGACTCACCGGACATTGAGGTTATTGGAAAAGAACTTTGCATTGAAGTAGCTCAGCATTATTCCAAGATTCATCTGTGCTACTCCCAATAGAATCGACATCTTCATTTTCATTGAGTTGAGGAAAGGCAACTCGCTACGAGTCCCGTGCCACTTAGGATCCACACCGAATGGATAAGTGTCACGAACCTTAACTAGACCGGAAGTATATGCATCCCTGCCATGCGGATTCAGTTTTATAAGGAGTCATCAGATGTCTGAGTAGAATAATCAGAGAAGACTACTTGTGTAAGAAGTAAAGTTCAAGTATCATACTTGCAAGATAAGTCACGGCAAGAGTAGGCAGATGGACCAAAGAGTTCAAAAGGGACAGAAAAGAATTCGTTGTATATGAATCCTGTGTATATTGAGAAGATTGACATCATCAAGATAACATAACGCCCGCCGAATGTCATTTCCAGGATGTCGCCAAGCTTCTGCTTATTGTGAATTCCATTCAGTTCTAACTTGCAGAAATTGAGCGACAGTACCAACTAACTTAATGGAAGCTCAGAAAACAAAGAATTACCTGGGTAGAATACTTCTTTTCCATTGCAATTAAATATAAGGTGGCCAGCATTAAGCAAATACCGTGACCCCAGTCACCAAACATCACAGCAAAAAGGAATGGGAATGTCACGATTGTAAAAACACCAGGATTTGCTTCACGATACTTTGCAACCCTGGCAAAGTAAATCCTTAGTTAGAACCGCAATGACAGTTGGCCATGGTTACGTCAATAGTGAGACAACCAGGTAAAATATGTACTCTGGTAATCCAAATCAAAATGGCAGAAGTGACGCTGAAATATTAAGCAAATGTTGCACTCATAATACTCACCCATACGCATCAACGATCTCTTGATATGCTGAAGTAAATTTATTGGTACGGAAATAGGTAGGTGGTAGCTCCTTTGTCTGCAAAACTTGGAAAATGGCTCCTACTTGTGAGCTGCTGTCCAGTCTTGCCCGCTGCAGAGTGTCCTGGATCTAAAGGGAAATTTTCCACAGAGATATTTGTAAATTACTATACTGCTTCGCGAAAAATAAGGCGATGATTAAACATGAACAACTGTAAAAGGCATCATAAAAGTTACAGCGCACCTGGTGGGTTCCATAAACAGGGCACCAACCTTCAGCAACAAGGCACTTTTTTGTCACGTCTATACTCAACATATTTAAAGTGTGATAGACAGATTTTTCCTTCTTTACCTATTCATGGTGGAACAAAGAAGAAATAGTTAAGATTATTAACACTTCAAATCACACTAGAAAGTTTGGAATCATCCTAAGAATGGAAGGAAAAGAGTCAAAACATACCAGGACAGTCCATTGCTCAATCTGAAAGCCAATTCTCTGTAATAGATTGCTCTGGTGTGCCTTTCCAACATCTATTGTAGTCTTGAGTTCTGCAAGTCTTCCAGAGACCTAGAAATCATAAGATTTTGGACTCATTAATGACAAAGCAACAAAAAACACTAGGTAAGTGAAATAAAGAGTTGCGCTGCAAAAAGTTCGCAGTACATTAACAGTCTAATGCTCAACGAAAATGTTGGTATTGGCAGAACTTTCACATGAAGATATTCGCTGCCAATGCAAAATACAGATGACATGGATTTTCTTCCAAGTTCAGTTTCAGCAAACTTCAAAGGAATCGCTTCTACTAAACTTTCCAACTCAGTTATTCCTTTCAGAAGGAGGCACTTAGTTGACCTCTCTGGTGGGTATATAAAGTAACAGACAAAATGTTGATCATGTTCATCTAAGTTTTACATACATTGTTGGCATTGACAGAACTTCCAAATGAAGATATTGCCTGGCAATTCAAAAGACAGATGACATGAATGTTATTCCAGCTTAAGTTTTTTCCTCTAGTTTCCACTGAAATTTCTAAGTCAGTTATCCATTTCAAAAGCAGCACTTAGTTTACCTCCCTGATTGGTATCTACAGTAAAAAGACAAAAAAATGTTTATCATGGTCATCTAGGGATTCAAAGAATGAAATTCAGCAACTACAAGTAATGCAAATACCACATCAAGGATTTAGAACAATAATTGAAGGTAAAAAAAAGCTTCAGATATTTACATAAAGGGCAAATCAAAGCATTATGTACCTCTGTAATCATCTGAAACTGTTTGCCAAGGTCCTCTGTAAATGGATAGCGGTTTGCTCCATAAGCTTCACAAATTTTCAGAATTTTGGTTTTGGCTCGCTCACCAGAATAGAAAACTATGAATACATTTTTCTCCACCTGAAGAATGGTAAGTTTTTAGTTTCTCTAATGAAATTTATGTAATCTGTTAACATTCAGACTAAAGGCACTTCTCTTCGATGGAAGTTTTATTTTCCCAGAATGTATCCTAATTTTTGGCCTAATTCTTCTTCTGATGATCGATTCAACCTCGGATCAAAAAGATATACCTTGGTTCTATTTCATCTCTTTAACAAGTTTAGTAATGAGTATAACGGCCCTACATTAAAATCAACTTGCACAAGGTTACCTGCTCTCCTGACCCTGGATCAATGACTGGATTTTCAACCACAGATTGTTTCAGAAACACGTTGCCCCTGGTTGCACGGAACAGAATCCTCTCAAAAGCCATAGCTTTATCTCTAGGAACAAGGCCGCTAACAAACCCCAACTTAACATGCTTTGATGGATCTGTTGTCATTTCCTGCATTAAGCTCTTGGCCCTTAGATATGACTCTTATGAATTGAACAATTGTTCCACCACAGACTATATTGAAACACTTACCTGCTCCAATAGCAATGGACTGTCCATTGACCCTTCTCCACCATTTTGTGCTTCAAACTCTCTCTGATGAGCCGCAGCAGTGCTTTGAGCTGAATTAAAAAATTCGCCAGCCTGTAATGAGATTAACAAGAACATTGAAATTAATTCATAGATACAACATGTCCAACTTCAGTAGCAAAACTACTCTTCCATTCAAGTGGCCCTTGCAACTCAGGTGGCCAACAGCGGAGTTAGTTGTTACCTTCTGCAGAACAAGCTTGTACTCTAACAGTTCACTGTAAGTATGCCGCAGCTTCTCATCATTGGCATTGATTTCCATTAACTCAGATTCTAGTTCTCCTAGTTTCACCTGATCATGACAACATCAGGTTTCAATTAACAAGAAGAGAGCTTAACTTCACTAATATCAATATCTATGTTCAAACACAGAATTATCAATCCATGAATACCTCCAAATTGTCTAAATCATCGTCAGTGCTTATATTCCTCGTTGATGGTGACAAGCCAGCCTTTTTCATCTGATCCTTGAAGAAACGTAGCTTGCGTGCCATTTCTGCACATCTTTTGATCTGTATGTAGGATAACACTGTGTATCAGTCTAATGTTCTTTAGAAACTGACTTATTTAATCACTAGAGTCGACATATTAATCCAGAGTGAAAAAAAGCTCACTTGACCAGCATATGTTCTCTGAAATGGACTCTTTTCCGGATTGAGCTGCAAGAAGAAGTACTAATGCAATTAGCCATAACAGCAGATAAAACAGTACGCCTACATTCAAAAGACAGAATCTCCAAGTAAGGTGTTCCGAATCAATCTAAAAGTCGAATTGATCACAAGATCGAACTGATATCCACATCCTTCTCTGAATTTATTCTGCCTAATCTCTAGTGCCTCCAACTCACTGCATGCTGATTCTAACAGAAAATGATTTCGCTGGAAACCTACATACAATTTACAACTGTTCATCTAATTAAATTTCCTGGGGACAGCGATTCTCTGTAGCTCCCTATCCAAACTATTCCTAAACACTATAACGGAAACCATTCACAGAGCAACGCCCGTGGTAGTGGAATCAGAACGAGATTCTTCTTCTACATTGTGAAAATGGATTCGACAACTGTATTTCCATAAACGATTCAACAATCTGGAATTCATCAGAACACAAAAAGGAAATTGAAACTCCATTTGCTAATCTTTACACACAACGATCAAATAGAATAGCAGGTATAATAAGGTATTAAATTCTGAACTAACGCAGAAATGCGATTCAAATTCGCTTACGAAGAGAATTTCGTGTTAGCGGAAGTCTTACGTCTTTGAATTGGAAGAGGCCGAGGTCGCCGAGATACGAGATAGTGCGGTGAGCCGACTCAGTCGGAATGATGAGCTGAACCAACTGCATTGGCTCCGACCGCAACAGATCCATCGCTGGCCAAAAGCTTCCTTCCGCCATACTCTACCGGCTTTCTTTCCAGAGGGGGAAAAAAAAAACACAATCGAACAAACGTCGTACCGGCTTTTCACGGATCGACGGGTAGAAGCATCGAATCTGCACCAGAGAGAGATGGAGAGAAATCGAAACTCCGATCGGAGAGAATCGGCCGGTGTTTGAAATGACAGCAAAACGTGTATTTTGATTTTCTGAACGGCCGGTCTCGACTGGTGATGTTTTTGCTGGGAAGCCTCAGCGTCGTTTTCGCGCGGGCATGCGGGGAATTTTTTTTTTGTTTCATTTGTAAAAGCATCACCGTCGCCCTTTTTTTGCTGGCTATTTCCGGCCGACAAGTGTCAAACGCTCCGTTTCATTGTTCGGCATTTACGCTTTTGCCAAGATAATGGTTTATGCTGGCTTGGGCCGTGACCAGCCCAGCCCGAGTTTTGAAAACCGCAAACAGATTCTAGATCTGGTAGCCTTCTTCTAAGTTTGGGGTCGATTGCCATTTGAGGGACCTTTGGGCTGCAGTTGGAATTTTGGTCCGTGAATTAAGGTCAAGACTCGCTGTCAAAAAGTGCGGCACCGGTGTCGCCGTTTTTTATTGGGTCACGTGGCTGCCCTGTGCCAATGTAGCATAAAAGGTCTTTCCGAAAACCAGCCTAGAGGCCAAAGTCCTACATCCGCAACTTGGTTCAAGCCTTCACAACCGATCAATGGAATCTCTTTTTTGGTTTTCATTTATCCTTCTGTCCTTCGTACCACTTTTTTGTTTTCCATTCAAAGTTGTTTCTGCTTCTTTTCCTAGTTTTGTTCTGGAAAAATATTTCCTGGATTAATTTGTCGTTCCCTTCTGTCCTTTGTCTTCGTCGAACTGACCACTGTTGCCCAATCCAGTTGATCGGAAGCCAGTCAGCCAGAGTAAAGGAAAATTTTCCTTCCTCTCCTTCGTCATCCCCTCATTCTCGGTGATTGGAGTTGCATATTGAATTTTCCCAACAGCTTCGTCATCCCCTCACTCTCGGCGATTGGAGTGGCAGAGCGACTTTTTCGAACATATTCGAAAGGCTTTCAGGTAATGCAACACTGTCATCGTATTTCGTTCGTTGTTCCTCTATGTCTCCCCTGCAGGTTGCAGTCCGTAATCGTTCTTCATCCAATTTTTCGAAACATGTTCTTGACATGCATGAAAGTGAAAAATTCATGTCCAGATGGGATTTGGGTAGGCTAGGAAGGAAGGAAACGAAATTAATAGAATAATTGAAAGCGATGGGGATGTGTTGAGGAACTATTGTTATAAAGGCGAATTTCGTTCGATAATGTCTTTAAGGCTGAGTTGGTCTTGCGACGTGTCTAGTCGTCTATAGTAGTTGGACTCAGTTCAACAGTTTGTAGGCAGAGATAGAAGTTCAACTAGAGAGGTGGCTTCCAATGTAGTTGAAAGTCATGAACTTTGTTGGCCATATTTAGCAATAGCTAGGGAATGTAGTAGCTATGCTTCTTGCTCATGTGCAATCAATCATTATGAACTTTGCTTTTGTTTGTGCCTGGATCGTACCAAGCGGTTTTGTGAGACTTCACGGCCTCCGGCGGCTTTCGACAAGCGGGGGGCGATCTCCGAAACCCTGCAAGAAAGGTCATCAGGGGGATCCTGGGACCTCCTCCGATGCCAAAGTTAGAGAGAGAAGTGAATGAGTAGTAAATGAGAGAGAGAGAGAGAGAGTGTGGAGTAGGTAGAAGTTACCATAAATGGCCCCTTGGGGGTATTTATACTATTTCTGGCTGAGGCTTGGGCATTTAATGACTTGTCGGGCGTTCAGGGACGCCTCTGGGCTCATTACATGCTTTGTCAGTACGAACTCTGACATTCCGCGTACGGAGTGGACCAGAAGGCCGTTGGTCCTTGTGTCGGGCAATCGGGACAGGCCGATCGCGACCCGTGTCGAGCGGTCTTCTAGGAGCGTGAGACCGCCTCGGGGTCATCGTGTTTTTTTGGTTGGTAGGGTCTAGCCCGTTTGTTTGTGGGCTTTGTAACCATGGGCCTTAGGGCCCACGTATTTCAATACTTGGCCCAACATTTGCCCCTTAGGCGTGAGAAGCATTAGGTTTTCGCGGATATCTTATTAACAAGCGGTCCCGGATCGTGCGACCCATGGTTACCTGCTTACCCCTGGCCGTGAAGGCCTAGTGCGTGAACGCCTAGGAGGTGTTTCAGGAGGCAATGCGCGTTTTAGGGTGCGACACGTTCTGCCCCTTACTTTTCATAGCGCCACGTGTCATATCTCGGGAGCGGATCCCTAACAAACAAAGCGTCACCTCTGGGGGCTTTGTACTTCGGAATTCGCGAACGTCACTTCCAACGCTTCGATTTTCCCGATTTGCTTTAAATGGGGTTTGGGGGATATTTCCCCCGCTATTACTGCTTCTTCTTTCAGAAAGGGTTCGTCTGCTTCCCCTTTCCTTTTTCTGCGAAGAGTTCAGGGCCCTCCGCCGCCGATCTCTATAAAACCCGGCCAATCGGGAAATCTCCAGGTAACTTGTCGTCTTGGCTCGGTTCATATTTTGTAGGGTGCTACTTGCTTTCTTCTACGATCTTTGTTCTTGTTCGAACATCGCCTTTGGTCGGTGTGATGAATCGCTTGGGTGTGGCTCTTCTTCCGCTGTCAGATGGCGAACGAGGACCAGGCTCCGCCGTCCGGCGATCTGGAACAAGCTGCTGCTACCCCAGGAGGCGCTTCCGCGGCTGATCCCGTTCCGACGGACACTCTTGGTCGGACCTGGGCGTCACCGATTGTTCCGTCGTATCCTCTTGCCGCCGGGAAGAACCCTTCGGCGACCTCTGCGGGCCTTGCACCCACTACTCAAGGTATGACATGTTCTACTCCTGTTCGAAGCGTTTCTGAGTGTGTGTGGGACTTGTCCAGACTTGAATTATACTTCGGAAGCGGTTCTGAATCAGACGATTATCTTTTTGGGGATGCTTTAGGACTAGATGATTTTTCTGCTAACATCCACCCTGTACCAGTTGGGGTTATGGCCACTTCGTTCGTGGTTGGGGACAATCTCGGTGAGTTTGATACTATTGATTTAGATAGCGGTTCATCGGATGAGGATGATGTGGTTGACAGTGATGGAGTGAGTTTGGAGGCGGTTCTTAGTTCGCCATCTTCTTTAGAGGGTGTTGGGTCGGAGGATTGTGGAGTGCTTCCGCTGGCTATTGAGGATTCCATCTATACCGTTATGCGACATGAGGGTATGTGGGGTGGTGATCCAGTAACTCCTGAAGTGTTTTCCTACGGATCGTCGTATGAGGCGGCCTTGAGACCTGAGCCGGTATTCCATCGTTTGAAGGTGCTCGGTCTGCCCCCTGAGTGGCAGTACGTGGCTCCGTCGAAGGCGACAGATCTGGATCGTGCCCGCGCGGCTGGATTCCCATTCACGTTGAGCATGTGAAGTTGAGGATGCGGTTTCCTCTAGATCCTATTCTCACTAGGGCTCTAAATTGCTTTCAGTGTACCCTTGGACGGTTATCTATCGTTTTTCACTCTGTGATGTACCGCTATGTGTGTGACCGCCTTAAGGAGACTCCCTCTTTTGACGCTTTTTGGATGATTTAAAATATCCGGAACTCGACCAACTGTTGGTCTATTGGGAGGCGGGAGACCGTGATTGGCTTTATTATAGGGTCGCCGAAGCTGGACTCACCCTGGTTCAAGGAGTATTTCTTTGCGAGACCTTCCTGGAAGTGGTATTCGGGAGAGACCGCTCCTCTGACGGGGTATGCTATAGGGCCAAAGGATGACTGGTGCTCGACGAACCAGTTCAAACAGTCTGTGAGGGACCATGTAGACCGCATCGTTGAAGGGATTCAACTACGTGTATTCCCTAGCGGTTCTGAGAGCGCGTATCGGCTTATCCGTGATTTTTATGGTTAGTAGCATTTCCCTTGTTCTGTATGCCGCCCTCTTCTCATGTGTTTTTGCTTATGCCTACTCTTTCCAGGTTTGCGAGCGTTGGCCGATGCGAATAGGCCGAAGAAGAGGAAGAAGATGGTAGCGAAGGCTGATGGGGCGTAAAGCGTGCCTTTGTCGACCAGGGCTGGGGGATGCGCTCGTGCCGGATCCGCAAGCTGCGGGTTGTTCCGGTGTGGTGACTCGAGGTGGGAGCAAGAGGCCTTTGGAGCAGGTGGTTCTTGCTGCGACTGCCAAGCGGGTGAAGATCGTGGGTAACCGCGCCAAGGGTGTGAAGCAAACCGACGAGGTGAATGGCATCGACCTGTCACCTCGAGCGGCCACTGCTGGAGAAGCTGCTGAGCTCACATTTCACTCCATCAGTGACAGCTGTCTGTGCCCCTGGAGTACACTGCCTCTTTGCATGGCGACAACAGACGCCTCGCGGGGACCGCTACCCAGTTCTTCTTTGCGGTAAGTGCCTCTGTGTTAGACTTTTTTCTTTGAACGTTGTTCGCGATCTTTATTTGGTGTTGTTCTGCCAGGCCCAGATTGGTTTCTCAAGTCATCATGCTCAATGACTGTTTGTCCAAGACTGTTGATGACAACGCGGTAGAGATCGCCAGACTCAAGAAGAGTTTGAGCGAGGGACGCGAGAAGCTGATGGGGGAAGTGCGGCCACTGGTGGCGCATGACTTCGAAAAGCGATTGGCTCAGAAGGAGCGGGACCGGCTCCAAGAGAAGGCGCGGAGGTGGGAAGAGTTGGAGCGAGCATTACTGGAGGAACATGAGGCGCTCTGTAAGGAGGTAGAGTCCCTCAAGCTTGACAAGGTGGCCTTGCAGAGCAGCCGCGAGGCAGAGTTGGACGCTGCCCGAGTTGAGGCTGGACTAGCTTATCTGAAGTCAGCTCAGTTCCTCACCTTAGACAATGAGAAGTATAAGGAGATTGTGGGAACCACTGTGGCCGCCATCTGACACTTCTTTCGTCGTGATTAGCTTGAAGTGAATTATAACTCTGACCGCATCTGGGATGCAATTGGCTCTTGGGCTGAAACATATGTGAACTCTGAG